TGCTTTCTTCTTTTCCAAAGTCGTAGTTATAAACAACTTTCGCTTAATGGACGTAGTAAATTATTTAATTGTCTTCACATGAATATTACTAGGGATAATATATTAATCTTATTATGAGCAACAACACAATCAATAACACAACTATTAATAGTTGATGGGGGTTCTAATATTAGCTTCGGTTAACCTTGGCAAGTTGAGGTGCTTGCCTTGGATGCCTCAACCCTTCCTTGAATTGCTTCTCCCATAAACCTAGGTTCTTCTTCTTCTTCTTCTTCCTCTTCTTCTGATTAGATAATTCTATACTTCATTTTTCATTATGTGTAACACATTCAACTATGTTTTGGGCAACATTATCTTCATCCTTTTCAAAATTTATCTGAATTCTAATCCTTATTAAGGTTTTTATATATTTTAAAGTGAATATACCCATTCTTAAATTGAACCTTACCGTTTGGTAGATTTCATATAGATGAATGATGAAGTGTTGTAATGCTTTTGTTAAAAATTGTGTCCAGCAATTTATAATGTTCCAACCCATATTTCTTGAATCATGCAGCCTCAAGATATACCTACAAAATATGCATTTTCAACATAATGTGTTAAACCACACACACTTTGAACATATTGGGTTGGAAATGCATATTTTGGAGATACATCGTCAGCTTGCACGATTCAATAAGCATGGATTGGATCATTATAAATTGCTGGGTATAATTTTTCATAAAAATACCGCAACAGGTGTACTTCATGCATTTATATAAGATATACCAAATTTTGATGATGAGGTTCAATTTGAGAATAAGTATAGTCACTTTAGAGTTTATATAAACCTTGATAAGGATGAAGATAATGTTGCCCCATAAATAGTTGAATGTGTTACGCACTATGAAAAACAAAATATTGAATTTTCTGATTCAAAAGAAAAAGAATGATCCTAAGTTTATGCAAATGTGAGAAGCAATTTAAGCGCGGGATGGGATCCAAGATAGAAACTGAAGCTCATCTTGCTAAAGTTGAGAGGTAGAGGTTAAGCATCGAAGCTAGTGTTGGAACCTCATCATCTATTAGTTGTCCTATTACCAATTGTGTTGCTGTTTATGATGAGATGGATTTTTCTAGTGATATTTATGTCAAGACAATGAAACAATTTACTGTATTCATTAACAAGGAGTTGTTTATGGTCATGTATTTGGAAAGAAAGAAGACACGGTTAGAATGCCTGTAAAATTATACTTGAACTTATACCTTTTATGTTGGGTGTTGGATTATGTTTAGTGGTAATTTTCATGAGATAAGGTGCTAAAATATCTCGAAAGTATATATGGAGGAGTACCTAACGCCTTAAAAAAAATTTTTTTTGGCTCTAAAATATCCTGAAACTTTATTTTTGTAGCAAAAATGTTCTGATTGAACCATCTCTAACGGTGACTGTTAATTTTTACCATAATTGCTTACATGGCAGCGGCGTGTATACTGAATTTTCCACCTCATCATCACATCTCCTCCTCTCACCCTTTCTCTCTTCATTTGCTCTTTCTCGCCCCCCCTCATCCGCCTTTCCTCTGAAACTAACAATGAAACTGAGAGAGAGAAGCATGAATTTGGGCCATCTATCTCACAATTCTACTTGCTACCACGAAGCAATTAGATTATTGGATTAAATAATTGATGAGAACAAAAATTTATATACATGAGCTCCTCCATCAAAAAACAAAGAAACGAAGAAGATGATGATAAGTATTGAGTATGTCAAAACATATTATTAATCCTTTAACTTTAGTTCTTTAATTTTATTTTGTTTCATATTAAATTAAATATTTAATTTTCAAAATGCGTTAAAAAAGTTTTGTAATGGTTAACATTTTTTTTTTTGATGCGAGAAAGGCATTTATCAGTACGTGCTTACATCAGAATGTAGTAAGTCAATAGAAAATGTAATTGCATAATCAAAAGTAATAATTAATATAATAATTATAATTAAAATATTTTTAATGCCTAAAATAAATAATTACAAATTTAAAAATATTTTGATGGAAGACATTAAAAATTATAACCTTCAAATATACAAGTTCTTTTGTCTGGTTTGTTTTAAAGATATTTTTACCTTAAAAAAATGACAAACTCAAGATATATAGATCTTTCAGCTCAAAAATAACAAAAGAAAAGAATATATAATTTTTTTGGCAAACATGAAAAAATAAATAATTTTTATTTTCTGGTTTGTATTAAGAATATTTTAATTATAAGAAAAGATAAATATTTAATTCTTATACAATTCAACATTTTTTTTTGTTTTTTTGCCAACCAATTCAACCTTAGGCTGAAGTTTCCTAACTACTCACTCTACCTAAAATAATCGAAATGATTTATTTTAGGGTATTTTAAACGTTTTACAAAAATCATTTTTGAAAATTTATTTTTAGGCGGTACTTTTTAACATTTTGAAGTGGAAATTTTTTAATTTTTCTATAATCTTAGGCAAAGATGATTTCTTTTAAGTTTTAATAATATTTTAATTAAACTTATTACCTTCATTAATTTATTATAACAGTGATCACAGCAATTTTGGATATGCAAGTCGTTATTTTGGGCATTATAAGTTTTACCCTTTGTTTGGATGGGAAGAAAAGTTAGGAGGAAAGAAAATGAGATAAGAGAAAATGGGAAGAAGAGAAAATTAGAGAGAAAATATTATCACCTCTCATGTTTGGACGGACAAGAGAAAACAGAAAGGAAAGAAAATGAGTAAACACATGAATGACTAAGATATTATTACTGTTATATCAAAATATAGTTTGATTAAAATCAAATTAAATATCATAATGAAAAACCATATTTACATCAACATGATTAGATAATTTAAAATCAACTTATCTGATAAAGATATATTACCATGTTATTATATTTTAATATCAAATAATTTTGTAAAAAAAGAAAGAAAAAAATAACATTTGTGTAATGTAATACTAAAAAAAACCCAAAACAACAACTCTACTTATTTTCTCTTTTAGTTCATTTTAGAAAGATTTTTGCAATTTTAGTTATTTCATTTTCCAATCAAACAAATACAGAAGAAAGACATGAAAATAATAAATAAAGTGAAAAAAATAAAAAAAATAAAAAGGTATTATTTTGCTGAAAAAAACATATGTAAGGATAGAGAAGGAAAATGCGTTTTCTTCTCATTTTCTCTCCACATATGGAGAGAAAAGTTGAGAAAAAAATGGAATGTGGGACCCACTTCATTTTCTTTCTAATTTTTCTTTCCTCTCATTTTTCTTCTCTCATCCAAATAGAGGAAAAACCACTTCTTCCCTTATTTTCCTTTTTAGTTTTCCTTATTCTCTCATTTTCTCTCTATCCAAACATAACACAGCATTAATGTTCTCTCGAGGGCGATTGTATTAGCTGCTGAGGGATGAAGATGACCGATGATGTAAATTGGGCCAAGGCCCTGTTGCCCAACCAACAGCAAACCCTAGTTTCATCAACCGTAACCCACACACTTGAATCCAAAGCCTATTATCCTGCCTTCCCAATTCCCATAGTAGCTGGCTTCCGGCTATTGCCATTTCCTTACTCACGCTGCCACAAGCTGGTGTTTATTTTGAAGCTTCGATTGGTGATTTTCAAGCTTCATGTTACTAAGGCTAACTTGCCATTTATAAAATCCAGTTTTTGCTCAAATACAGCCGCGGCTAGTATAATGTAATTTAATACTGTCACTTCTTTGTGGGTTTGGTGTCAAAAGTGTGAATTTAGGCCTTTTGCAATCAAGAAAAGAATAAATGGATTTGCATCTTCGATTACGAACTTTTGGGTTGTACATTTCGCCGGCGAGTATATTGGTTATGCTTTCTATATGAGTTTTATTTCCTTTTTCCGTTTTTCTTTTTGGGCATACTGAACTATTAGACATCGCGTATGTATATTTGAGGCTATTTGTACGGAAGATTATGAAACAGCTTTAACCTTTTTGTTTTTTATTCTTGCTTTTCTGTTTCTGAAGTTTTTTTTTTTTTTTTTGGGTGATTACAGCTCAGGAGCGATCAAATTTCGAATGGTTTATAAACTTATCTACGAATCATATATCATAAATTTATCAAGATGGCTTCTCCGCGAGGAGGATGCTTGACAGATACTAATGCGTTCATGGAACTTGCAATACAGCAGGTATTTGCTGAGGTCTTGCTATCGTTCTTGCAATGATAGATTATAGATGGCTATGTTTGTGCCGTTCCGATTATGCTCATGTCGCAGTGTCAGTTACTGATATATTCTTTAAGTTCATATATATAACTTGGAAGCATATATAACACAACTTAAGCACTTGTCAAATAAAAGTAGTGGTCAAAGTGTAAATACCGACAGGTGGAATCAGTGTGTGAAGTTATAAATTAAAATGGAAAAAGAAAGTTGTAGGTAAGCAATGACGATCAGACACTTAATTCAAGTCTAGCAGAATTAGTTGCATGGCAGTTCAAAATGAAGGCGTAAAAAGATTTGAACCCAACATGTGTGTGGGTCTTTATGAGTTGCCTTAGACCATGTAGATTCAAATATAAAAAGCTTTTTGCCCAATATACCTTTACTTTTTTGTAATTGAACTTAGTTTCCTTATGCTCTTGCTTTTTGCTATATGGCAGGCAAAAATAGCTTTGGATGTCCTTGAAGTTCCTGTTGGGTAAGTTACTTTCACTGTTATTCTCTTGCTCAATACATTAAAATAGGCGTATGTGCATATGTTCAGACATGCACCATTTCATCTTGGTGCATTGGGAGTTAAGATGGAAAGTTTCATTGCAATGTTATTCAAAGTGGAATGAGGAGAAACTGCATCAAACATATTCCAGTACTCAGCTTTTGAACTTGATGTACTAGTGACCTTGGACAAAATTGAGAGATGAATATATGCTATGAGATTATTTTATTTACTCTGTGACCTTTTTGTCCTTTGTATCATCGCCAGTTGATTCTCAAATGTACCTTTTGTGTCCTTATCTTTGGTCATTTCCTCACCTTATCAAGATCCCTTGAATCAGGAATCATACTTGTATGCATTGACATTCTCAGTTATCCAAACTCCCTTCATTTTGAATATCAAAATTTGTATAATAAATTTAAAGTTCATTGAAATTGACCCCATTATTTTCAGTCAATAATTTCAAAAATTTCTTTGTACTTCTATGCATAGCCTTGAAAGTTGAAAGTATCCTATTTGTGGTTTACTTACCATCATCCCAGCTAACTACGCGAACCAAAGAGCAAATCACTTTTAAAGAATGACATATTGCTGACCTTTGTTCCCTTTTCTTTGTCTTCCTCTTTCTCTCCTATTGGACTCCAAAAGCTCTATTCTTGCTTGCTCTGCCCAGCATTTGTTACAATATCCCCAAGATTGTCCTACGTGAAATCCTTAATTTGTTCTTAGCTTTCCCTCAATTCATAATTTTTTTTTCCAGAATTCCTAATTTTCCATACATTGAAGATGGAAAGACTTTCCTTGGCCTATGAAAGGTCCGAATTTGACAAACACAGCATGATATTATCCCTAAATGGGTGTCTAATTTTGTAAATGGTTTTCCATTTGTTGGAATAAGGCTTTGTTTATTCATTGCCTGATCTTCCGATGTAATGGGTTCATTGAAGAAAATTTTGATCTGTTTTTTTCATTAAAGCACAATTATTGGTGTATATTAATTTTAATTTTATTTAAACCATGTTATGTGTTGCCAGCTGTGTGATTGTTGAGGATGGGAAGGTTGTAGCATCTGGGAGGAATCGAACTACTGAGACACGAAATGTAATTTGATTAATGACTTATTTTAATTTTATGTTATCATCATCTGTGCTTAGTTACATCTTACAATTGCTCCTTCAATCGTCTATTTGTTGTTTGGATAAATTCTGAATCATTATGCCTGTTGGCTGTAACTTATGTGAAATAACTTAGGCTTGTGAAATTTAGATTTGGGTTTTTCACTTTTTCACTTTGCTGCAATTTTAATTTTTCTGTCATAGATAAATGGCAAGTGAAAGCTTCAAACATTTACAGCTTCAGGAAGGTGAAGCAAGTGGACTGGACTTCTGTAAATGCTGATTTGAAACGCAAATTCAATTTCTAAAATTAGAAATGTGATCTTTTACTTGATTATATGTATATATATTTAATTTATAACCTGAATACTGGAAAAGGCGCTAATTTAGCCCCAGATTTCAATTTGCATTGTTTCTTAATGATGAATGCTCGGTGTTGGAAAGCCCATGATGCTCTCCGGTCATCACCCATGATTCTAGCTAGGAATAAATCCCTGATTATGTGCTGCTGTATCTCTGAATAATTGTAATTGAATTTTGATTGATTATAACCGGATTGTTCTCACCATCCGGACTCTATAAATTGTACCCTTTCATATGGAATAATATGTATGAGTGAATTAGTCATATATTGAGTCATGGTATCAGAGTAGTGGGTTTGATTCGAACCTAGACCGTCGCCCTGAACCTCTGCCGGTAAACAAAGAAAGAGAGAGAGTGAGGAGAGAGAGAGAGTGAGGTGTCCAGAGATCTGAAGACAGAGTAGGACGTGATCGACACCACCCCTCCAATCCTCATCAGAACCCTCTGATCGGCGCATCCCTAGAAGTCGATGTCCAACGGAGCCGCTCGTGAAGCCCACGCGCCGTCGCAAGCCTCCGCGCATGAAGTCCATGCGCTGTCGCCAGAGCCACACAATACCTCCATTCAATCCAGAAAATGAACCCATCAGACTTTCCACCCTTTTTTGGGTCTGTTCACAATTTGCCAGTCACCAAAGGCGCCATCCTAATGGCTTTTATGTCTGGCACATCCTCAAATACTCAAGGTACTCCTTCACAAATGCCCCTCTCTAAAAACCCTAATTCAGTGTCGGATTTGACAACAGCCACTGCACATCAAGCTATGGTGGTGACTCAAACTGAATGGCAACAATTACCTTCAGTGGTCTCAAAGTGTATTAATGTATCTGCGTGGGAAGCGTAAGGAGAAGTACATCAATGGAGAAGCAAAACAACCTTCACATAATGATTCTAATTTTGACACCTGGTTTGCTAAAAACAATCAGGTGATGTCCTGGCTATGCAACTCAATGACTCTTGAAATTAGTGGGGGATACCTTCTTGCAAGCACAGCCAAGGAGATCTGGGATGCTGCTAAACGCACTTACTCTATATTGGACAACACTGCTGCCTTGTTGGATCTAAAGAGGCAACTCAAAGATCTGAAACAAGGAAACCTGAGTGTAACACAACACCACAGCACTCTGACAAGGATATGGCAGCAATTGGATCTCTTTGAAGTACATCCTTGGAAGAATATTGATGATGCTAACTAGTACAGATAGTCAGTTGAAAAAGGGCGAACATATGATTTTCTATTGGGCCTGAATGTTGTTTTTGAAGAAGTAAGAGGCAGAATTATGAGTCTAAAGCCTCTCCTGTTCCTATTTGAAGTCTCTAGCATGGTTAAGTTCGAAGAAAGCTGGAGACTCTTCACCCAGGGTAACCAAACTCCAATAGATGGCTCTGCATTAGTCACAAGGAGTTCCCAGACTTCAGAGAACTCTGAAAGAAAAGGGAACAAGTGGTGAAATCTGTCGGAAATGGGCCCTAGGGAGAGGCCCAATCATCCTATTAAACCAAGAATCATTACAGCTATGTATACTGATTTACTAACCGTTAAAGACCTGATCCTTAGGCGCTAAATTAGGGATTACAGAATATATTTATTTCCTGTTTTGCTTCCTTATTAAATCTGGAGGATTTCATGCGATATGCTGGATCACTCCTCTCCCTATATGTATCGCACAAATCTGTGGAATAAAATACAGCTTTTCTGCACACAAACTCTCATGGTATCAGAGCGCTACCACTCATGTCTTTCAAAGAAGCTCTGACACGAAATTCCAGAGCTTTTACAGCTGAGGGTGAGTCCACCTCAGTGACAACTGCACCCCAGAATATGACCGAGTCAGAAGAGATGCGGTCAACTAGTTCAGGCGCACCAAATGGATCTGGACCAGATTCCTTGTCCCAACTGATTATATCCCACCGCCTCAATGGCAACAACTACCTCCAGTGGTCCAGAAATATTCTCATGTTTGTGCGTGGAAGAAACAAGGAAAAATACCTTACTTGGAACCCTCAGCCACCAAAAACCGAGGACCCACAGTATGAAACATGGTGTGCAGAAAACAACACCGTAATGACATGGCTTGTTCATTCCATGCTTCCTGAAATTAGCGAAAACTACCTACTTGCTAGTTCCGCACGAGAAATATGGGAATCAGCAAGGCGGACATACTCTGTTAAGGAAAATACAGCAGCTATTTTCCAACTCAAACGCATGCTACGCAGCCTCACTCAAGGGGAGAAGTCTGTCACCCAGTACTACAGTGCCCTGGTGCGACTGTGGCTGCAAATAGATCTCTATGAAGTACACAAATGGTCCTGCCATACAGATGAAGTCTACTTCAAACAGGTAATAGACCAAGACCGATGTTATGATTTTCTTCTTGGCCTTAACGATTCTTTTGAAGATATCAGGGGAAGAATAATGAGCATTAAGCCCCTTCCATCACTGGAAGATGCCTTCAATATGATTAAGAATGAAGAGAGCCGAAAAGCACTGGTTCAAAATCCATCTTTGGTTTCCCCATCAACCATAACTGAAGGCTCGGCTATGGTGACTAGAAGCAACCAAGGTGGAGACACAAGGGGAAAGAAGTCCCTAAGGTGTTACCATTGCAACAAAAATGGCCACACCCGTGACACATGCTGGAAGATCCATGGCAAGCCAGCCAATTGGAAGCCACGGCCTAAGGGAGAAGGTAAAGGACTTCTAACTAGTAACACCCCCAATGAAAGTGAAATCCTAAAGCATGAGGAGCTTGCAATACTGAGGAAAATCCTTGACAAATACTCCCATGAAAAGCTAAGTGAGGATACCCCAACTGTTTCCTTGGCTCATACAGGTACAGAACTTCTAACTGCACTTAGAACAGTCACTAATTCAAAAAATATCTGGGTGGTCGATTCTGGAGCTACTAATCATGTTTCTGGATTTAAAGAACTATTTTCTGTGTTTAGTTCATATTCACAGCATTCCCGTGTGCAGGTAGCAAACAATGAATATGCAAAGGTTATGGGATCTGGCACTGTAATTCTATCTACTGATATCATTCTTCATGATGTACTTTATGTGCCTGATATACACTGCAACCTACTGTCAGTACAGTGCATAGCTGATAAATTAAACTGCCTAGTTGGTTTTAATAAATCTCATTGTGTCTTTCAGGATTTAGTCTTGGGCAAGCTGATTGGCAAAGCTAAAGAATGTAATGGGCTGTACTACCTTGAAGGGAACCTGAAAAATAAAAGCCCCCTAGCTACTGCTACTTCTGCTATTCATGTGACTCCAAACAATGCTGCTGTGTCCCGTGATGAAATAATGTTATGGCATTACCGTTTAGGCCATCCTAACTTTGATTATATGAAAATCCTGTTTCCCAATTTCATGAATAAAATATCTCCTTCTCAAATTCAGTGTGACACCTGTCACTTTGCTACAGCGAACCCCTATACTCCTACTACTCCCTTTACACTCATTCATAGTGATGTTTGGGGACCCTCTAGAATCGAAACTAACTCCAAGGCCAAGTGGTTTGTTACCTTCATAGATGACCATACACGCCTCACATGGCTCTTTTTAATGAAAGACAAATCAGAAGTTTTTCCACTGTTTAAGCACTTTCACGCCTTTATTCAAACTCAATTTAATGTTTCTATAAAAGTTTTTCGAAGTGATAATGGAAAGGAGTATGTGAATACAAAATTTAAAGATTTTCTTATTGAAAAAGGGATTCATCATCAAACTTCTTGCACATACACACCACAGCAAAATGGGATAGCTGAGCGGAAGAATAGGCACCTCTTAGAAGTTGCTCGCTCACTTTTAATTGGGAGTAATGCTCCCAATATTTATTGGGGTGATGCAGTTCTCACTGCCACCTATTTAATCAATCGGCTGCCCTCCAAAGTACTAAAGTTTCAAACCCCAATTGATAAATTTTTAGAAACCTATCCCAATTCCTACCTCCTCAACCATCTCCCTAAAAGAGTTTTTGGTTGCACAGCTTTTGTGTTCAATGAAGATGGTGGCAAATTAGATACTCGAGCTCTTAAATGTATTTTTCTAGGTTACTCTTCCTCCCAAAAAGGTTACAAGTGCTATTCTCCTACCACTAGACGTGTCTATGTCACCATGAATGTTCAATTTATGGAATCACAACCCTTTTACCCCAAATTACCCATTCAGGGGGAGAGAGCTAATGAATGGCTAACTTGTCCTGATAGTAACTATACTAGTGACACACAACCTGAACAGCAAAGAAATCAAAACAGTAATGGTACCCTAGCATCACCAGCAGCCCCTATAGAGACACCTATTTTTGAACCTGACCTTATTACACCGTCCAGTGACCCTGCAACAACTGTCACAACACCAGAAAAAACACACACACCCCTGACATGGCACCCAACAGACTGAAACAATTCTAGAAGTGCCCAATAACACTGAACCTATACCTGAAGCCCCCCAAGAGACAAACCAGCAGTCACATACCACAGAGACAGAGGTGAACACAACAGAACAGCCAACAACCAGAGAAGAACCCATTAACATTCCAAGGCAGAGTCATGAATCTTATCCTGAGATTAATCCTGAAGATCTACAGTGGCCCATTGCTTTGAGAAAAGGCAAAAG